TAATTATGAAGCCACATGAAGGCAGCATAAATACTCAAGAGGAAGGAAAAAAAAAACTCAAACATTTGCTGATCTTCAGCTGATGATCAGGAGATGTTTGCTCACCTGGGCTTCTTCTGCAGGTGAATTTGTGGAGCAAGGAGTGAACAAGATTATGAGTGGAGGAGCAGAAAAGGAAGATCAGCAGGAGGAGAAGAAAGGAGGAGGAGGCTTTGGTCTGGATGATGCCCTCTCAATGGTCAGCGGCAAGAAGGAGGAAAAAGGAGGCGGCTTTGGACTGGATGATGCCCTCTCAATGGTCAGCGGCAAGAAGGAGGAAAAAGAAGGAGGGTTTGGTCTGGATGATGCCCTCTCTATGGTCAGTGGGAAGAAGGAGGAAAAAGAAGGAGGAGGAGGTGAGTTCGACATGTTGAAAAATTTTACTCCAATGTTTCATTTGAATTATTTAACTTTAAAATGATGCTTAATGACGACCAGCTGATCAGCCTGATATTCAGGTGATCAGAGCAGTTGATCAGTAGAACCTGGCTGGTTCTGGGCTGATAGGAGAGTGCTGCCCCCTAGTGTCCACAAGGATCCACTGAGCCTGGAACACAACAGTTCCCTCCAGAACCAGAGGAGGAACAATTGGGAGCAATAACAGAAACTTTTCTTTTAATCAAACAGGATTTATTAATGCTCCTAAACCGCTGATAGAACAGGAACACTTCCTGATATGTTCTGATTTATTGGAGCTATGATAGTAAATGATGAATAAATGTCTTTAAAATTAAATTATTTCTTTTAGAAGGAAAAGATTTTACTGTTCTGCTTTGAGAGTCGATCTTTACCAGAAACCTGCTTCAGTTCCTTCATGCATCTCCATGTTATCTGATGGCAGGAGCTCCTCCTGGAGGTGTTCTAGGTTCTGTTCTTTGGATCCAGATCCTGGTCTGATGCTCTGCTCTGTTTCTGTTCCCAGGTATTGGTAACTTCGTCGGGGGGCTGTTCAAGTAGGAACCTGGAGTCTTCATCACCTTCATCCACCTGATACCTGCTTATGGCATAATTCAGATTTAATATTTTGTTTAATTAATGTTTAAAATAACTAAAAGTCAACTTAATGCACTGAATCCTCCTGGGAAAATGAACCGGTTTAATAAACTGTAAAATATATTATAAACTAATGTCTAATGTTCAGTTATTGCTCATTGATTGTTCCCTTTATGCTGGATTAAAATAAACCTCATAAAATAAAGCTTGATTTATTTCTTACCCCTGAAGCGTTTTGTTTTTCTCTATGTGATGTTTTTTTCTTAGAAATGTTATCAATTTAAACATTTTATTTCACTTCAGTTCAAGAGAGTGTCTTCAGTAAGAGGTTTCTCCAGATCCGGTGCAAAAAAAAATCCTGAAATTATTAAAAGCAATTGTCCATTTCTAGAGCTGCATCATTCTATATTCTGCAGCTCTACAATTATAAATGACAATTTTATCGGCTGATGACAGAACTATAGTCTCTGCACCTGCATTTGTTGTTATTTCATCCAAAGAAAGAACAGTTAGTGACTCTATGTGAGATCAACAGTAACTTAGAAAACTTTGTATACAGAGTGTATACAAAACAAAATCTTCCTTTTGATTTCTAAAAAGCTCCTAGCGCCAAATTTAGAGACTTTTTTCTGCTACTGGAGACTTTGGAGACAACATCTAAAAGCAGCGAACTCTGCTCTCCAGAGCAAGTAGATTGGTAACCCCGCCTCCTGCTCTCCTCTATCTTGTCTGCTGTCATGATTCATGCAGCTATTATTTCATCCAAATGAAAAATGGAGAACAGATAAGCAGATCATGGCTTGTCTACAGTGAAAAGAAGGACTGGGTTATTTACTTTGGCCTTTTTGGAAACACAGGAAGGAGCAATCAGCTAAGTGAGCTTAGTGCTTGGAAAAAATCTTTCATTCCTTTAGAGACAGCATGAAAAGTCAGCTGAGTACAAAACATAGAGAGGAAAACAAGAAGAAAAGGGACAAGAAGAGAGGGACACAACCTAGAACAGATAATGGATGTCTATTCTATTAACATTTCTATATCTTAGGAATGGGGCTGTTTATGTGTTGTCTTCTCAGAGGGGCCCCTGCCTGTTGGGCCCCAAATTTCCTAAATCCGCTGCTGGTAGGAGATTGAACTAACAGATTCTGCAGAGTGGGAGAATAGAGATAGAATGTACCAGAATGATGAAAAAGGGGTCCCTATGTCCTCCAGCAGTCTAAGCCTATAGCAGCAGAACTATAGAGATAGATCAGGATAACCTGAGCCCCTCTAACTAGAAGCTTTATCAAAAAGGAAAGTTTTAAGCCTAGCCTTAAAAGTAGACAGGGTGTCTGCCTCACGGACTAAAACTGGTAGTTTGTTCCACAGGAGAGGAGCCTGAGAACTAAAAGATCTGCCTCCCATTCTACTTTTAGAAATTCTAGGAACCACTAGTAAACCTGCAGATTGAGAGCGAAGTGCTCTGTTAGGAACATAAGGAACAATCAGATCTCTGATATCAGATGGAGCTTGGCCATTTAAGGCTTTATATGTGAGAAGGAGGATTTTAAATTCTATTCTGGATTTAACAGGAAGCCAATGAAGAGAAGCCAGGATAGGAGAGATATGATCTCTCTTTTTCATTTTCATCAGAACTCTGGCTGCAGCATTTTGGATCAGCTGAAGGCTTTTAAATGAATTCCTCTCCAACTAGACGGGGACAATATATACATAATGTGAGTCATAGTTTTCAAAACAACATGAATTTGTTATGCAAAACTCTGTAAATAAAGGCGAGGCAGTTTATTTGTTTATACTTTGACTGATCAAGTGTCTTAGACAAAAAAAAAAAAACAGTCTAAAGAAAAGTATATGAAAAAAATATCATTGAATCAGAGATAAAATGTTTATTAAAAACAGGCTAAAGTTGAAGAAGCTTTAAAAAAATGCTAATATAAAACAAAATATCACATTTCACTCACTAGCAAACAGGGACTCACTGCAGGAAAATAAGAGCTTAGATGGAACGGCTTGATGAAACCCAAACGGCAGGACATTCCTAAAAGTTCAAAATTAATCCACTGGTCTTTGTTTCCAAGTTTAAAGACGTTTCTCTTCCATCCAGGAAGCTTTTTCAATTTAAATATCAGAAATAGCGTTGAGCTCCAGGCTTTATAGAGTGGACCAAAAACAAACCCTTGTTTTGGTTTAGAAAACATGCAAATTGAAACGTAAAAATGGGATTTAAGATCCAGAGAGCAAAGATATGTTCCCAACTGCTTAAGACTGAAGTCTACTGTAAAAGGACGGAGGGCAGAAGATATCCTTAGGAATGAACACCACAAGCTGCTACTGTAAGTGAATGTTTTCCAAAAAAAAAACAAGGCTTTGTTTGGCTGCTGGATAAAACCTGGAACTCAACGCTATTTCTGACACTTTGAATTGAAAAAGCTTCCTGGATGGAAGAGAAACGTCTTCAAACTTGGAAACAAAGTCCAGTGGATTGATTTGAACTTTTATGGAATGACGCTGACCTGGATGACTGGGAATCTTCACCAGCACATGACAGGAAACTAAGCCAGTTTGATAAAACATGTTTAAATAAACATCTTTTCAATGGTTGAATGGTCACTTTATGACTGCACCATGTCAGAAAATCAAAGGCCATATGCCAGCTGTGGGGCACGGTGGTGGAGGTCTGATGATGTGGGCACCTCGTGATCACTGAGTGGACCAAGATCTCCTCCATAGAGACAGAGTTTTGTTGTTTTATTGCTTGGTCCAAACTGGGCCCTGAGTGCATCAATAGGCAGCTAATTGTTAAAGTTTACCTAAGTTATTTTGTGATCTTAATAATCACTTATTATTTGTGCAAAGTTAAACAGTTGTTTTACTTGTTTAATATGTTTGAGTTTAGTATAGAGTTTTGTATTTATTTATTGCTTTTCTTTTATTTTTTTAGCTGCCTAATGACAAGTTTAGGTTATTCCGCTCTATTTAAAGCAGCTTCTGTTCTTTATCAGTCGGTCAGTTTTTGGTTTGAGTTACTGTTCAGTTGACCTCAGTTGTTTCGGCCCAAATCCTTGTTTTTATTACCTTTGAACCTTTAATTATTTTTGACATTATTAAATGAGATTTTTTTTTCAATTTTTGAACACCTTTTGTCCTTATTCAAGTTTGGTCCCTCACTCTCTTCTTTATGCTTATTTGGTACTATATGCACACTTTTTATATTGTCTGTTGTAGTTTTATGCTTAATGGCATTTTGCTTTAACTCTTTGTACTCTATATAAGCTACTAGATCCAGATTTTCTCTGTAGGAATAATCCCAAGGGATGAATAAAGTTGAGTCTAATTTTCTGAAAAAAATGTCTGGTTCTGGACTATTCTGGTCCAATAATAAGCTCAGCTCAGTAAACGACAGAAAAACTTCAAATAAAGCATCTGAACAATCCAGAAAGCCTGAAAAACTAGAGAAATGTATCAATGTTATGGAAAACAGACGTGAATTTAAAGAATAAACTCAGTTCCAGGAAATTTTTAGATGACAGGAATTCAGGGAAAAGTCTTTGTGTTCTAAGGCGTTTTCTGACAGGTGGAGAACAAAGAGGACCAACCTGACTAAGAGGGTGGGGCGGTGACAGAGTTACACCTGGGAGGCTAAAATGGGTCAAAAAGATGTCAGAACTTCACTTTCTCAGAATAATTTTAACATTTGATAAGTTATGATCATAACCAGAGACTTAGATTTACAATATAAACAACTCTGAGTGGTTTATTTTCGTCTCTGGAGGCTTTTTTCACTTTCTCTGAAGGCGTGGGTGTATTAAAGAATGTGTTCAGGTATAGTTTCATAATGAGCAAAGCTTGTTTTCAGAGAAAGGATGGAAGAAGACTAAGAAGTGTGCCTGCAGTCAGAACTCAGGGCGGGGTTCCTCCATCCAACATGGCCCAAACTGAACATGCTCTAACTGGGGCAGTAGGTCGAACTGGTTGGACTGGTCTGCAGAAACACCTGATTCCTAGATGCCTACACCTGAGACAGGTGGGAGGCTCCGCATTCTGCCAGAACACCTGCTGACTGCAGTGAGACACAGAGACGCCGCAGACATGGACCTGTTCGCTGGAAAGATTGCAGAGAAAGTGGGTAAGTACTGGTTCTGGGGGTTCCCATTTTGACATTCCGGGTCTGGACCTCCTAAGCTTTGTGTTTAATGTGATTCTGCTCGCTCAGGTAGGAATCTGAACTGCACCAGGTGGTTCTATAAAAGGGAGTCAGTTTAGAACCAAAGCAGAACCAAACTTGGTCCAGAGACAGTATGACCGAATGTTCTCAGGTTTTTGCTTCATCATGTCTTTGTGACTCAGGGAAACCGAGTTTTAAATCTGTAGATTAGAATTCTTCAGGTAAAAGGGGCGGAGTCAACAACAGGTAAACAATCACAGCCTTTAAATTAAATCAGGCCAGTCATCTTGGCCAGAGTGCTTCATGTTAGTCAAATTTCTCAAGTCTGACTGAGTCACTGGTAACATGACATCATTCTGGCATGTCCAAGTTCTGTAGAGACCTATCTGTCCAGCTATTTCAAGTTCTGTAGAGCCTTGCTTTATGTCCAAGTGTCCAAGTTCTGTAGAGCCCTGCTTTATGTCCAAGTTTTGTAGAGACCTGGTATATGTCCCATTGTCCAAATTCTGTAGAGACCTGCTTTAAGTCCCATTGTCCAAATTCTGTAGAGACCTGCTATATGTCCCATTGTCCAAATTCTGTAGAGACCTGCTATATGTCCCATTGTCCAAATTCTGTAGAGACCTGCTATATGTCCAACTGTCAAAGTTCAGTAGAGACCTATCTGTCCAGCTATTTCAAGTTCTGTAGAGCCCTGCTTTATGTCCAAGTGTCCAAGTTCTGTAGAGACCTGCTTTATGTCCAGCTGTCCCAGTTCTGTAGAGACCTGCAATATGTCCAATTGGCCAAGTTCTGTAGAGACCTGCTATATGTCCAACTGTCCCAGTTCTGTAGAGACCTGCTATATGTCCAACTGTCCAAGTTCTGTAGAGCCCTGCTTTATGTCCAGCTGTCCCAGTTCTGTAGAGACCTGCTTTATGTCCAACTGTCTAAGTTTTGTAGAGCCCTGCTATCTGTCCAACTGTCCAAGTTCTGTAGAGCCTTGCTATATGTCCAACTGCCCCAGTTCTGTAGAGACCTGCTATATGTCCAACTGTCTAAGTTTTGTAGAGCCCTGCTATCTGTCCAACTGTCCAAGTTCTGTAGAGCCTTGCTATATGTCCAACTGTCCCAGTTCTGTAGAGACCTGCTATATGTTCAACTGTCCCAGTTCTGTAGAGACCTGCTATATGTCCAACTGTCTAAGTTTTGTAGAGCCCTGCTATCTGTCCCAGTTCTGTAGAGACCTGCTATATGTCCAACTGTCTAAGTTTTGTAGAGCCCTGCTATCTGTCCAACTGTCCAAGTTCTGTAGAGCCTTGCTATATGTCCAACTGTCCCAGTTCTGTAGAGACCTGCTATATGTTCAACTGTCCCAGTTCTCTAGATACCTATCTGTATGGCTATTTCAAGTTCTGTAGAGCCCTGCTTTATGTCCAAGTGTCCAAGTTCTGTAGAGACCTGCTATATGTCCAGCTGTCCCAGTTCTGTAGAGACCTGCTTTATGTCCAACTGTCTAAGTTTTGTAGAGCCCTGCTATCTGTCCAACTGTCCAAGTTCTGTAGAGCCTTGCTATATGTCCAACTGTCCCAGTTCTGTAGAGACCTGCTATATGTTCAACTGTCCCAGTTCTGTAGATACCTAGTATCTGTACGGCTATTTCAAGTTCTGTAGAGCCCTGCTTTATGTCCAAGTGTCCCAGTTCTGTAGAGACCTGCTATATGTTCAACTGTCCCAGTTCTGTAGATACCTATCTGTACGGCTATTTCAAGTTCTGTAGAGCCCTGCTTTATGTCCAAGTGTCCCAGTTCTGTAGAGACCTGCTTTATGTCCAAGTGTCCCAGTTCTGTAGAGACCTGCTATATGTCCAACTGTCTAAATTCTGTAGGGACATGTAGAGACTCCTCCTTCCTTACTGCCAGGACTATTCAGACTGGTCATGGCGACTGCTGATCAACTTCCTAACTGATTTGATGAATTTGGATTCAGTGATGGAGGAAGAGGATGGATGGAAACAGGTAGACTGATATTCCAACCTCTCCCGGTTTCCTCTAAAAGGCTCTACAGTTTCTGATGTTTCCTGATATTGGCGTCTTCCGTCCATGTTGTCCGTGTTGGCATCAGACTCAGCAGCTTCTTCAAACGTTCAACAGTTCAGATCAAGCAGAAGCCATCTAACATTGAACATGTGAAGATGTCTTCCTGCTGAAGTTCTTCCTCTAAAAGCTGCTGGTCCATGATGGACATTTCTCTCTGTGTTGCAGGAGACATGGTGGAGGGAGCAGTGAAGAACGCTCTGGGCATGGAGGACAAAGACGAGAAAAAGAAGGAGAAAGGAGGATTCTTCTCCTTTGGACGAGGTGATGATGATGAAGATGAGAAGAAGAAGAAGAAAAACAAGGAGGAAGATAAAGGATTCTTCTCCAAGATCTTTGACAGAGACGATGATGAAGATAAGGATAAGGTGCCGAAGAAATCCGGATTTCATGGCCTCTTTGCTGAAGGGGAGGGAGGGGGAGCAGGAGGACCCATGGGAGGAGGAGCTATGGGAGGAGATGGAGGAGCAATGGGAGGAGGAGGAGCAGGAGGACCCCCAGGCCAGACTGTAGCTGTCAGTGACAGAGGTACGTATGAAGAACATCTCTGTCTGAGACGATGCTTCATGCTGCAGTCAGTTAATTAAATATCCAAACTAATCCATGGATAATTAGCAAACTGTAAATATGATAACATTAGATTAGATTGAATTAGATTAGATCTTCTTTCCTCTCTGAAGGTTTTGGTTCTGAGCTCAGATGGGCTGAAGGTAGAACCTGTTTGTGGGTCTGAAGTTCTACTTCAATAAAGGTGGGGTTCTAAATCTCAGATCATCAGACCTCCGCTGTGGGTCAGAACCAGAACCAAAACCAGGAGTCTGGATGAGTCCTAATGTTCGTTTCCTGACTGTTGGATCAGAACATTGAGTGGAAGGAAGATTTGGTTCATATCTCAAAGCAGGAAATAACGATGTGTATCCATGTGTTTTTCAGACCTCTTTGATGATCTGATGGATGTGGCTGAACAAACGTCTAAAAACTGAGGAAATCTTCACCAGTTATTTTTCTCTCGGAATCTGGATTAATGTGTGAAATAAATTTTGTAATAAAGGTTTTATTTAATCAAACTCCTTCTGATCTCAAATAATCGATTTCTAAGTTAAAAAAAATCATAAATGATTGAATGTATTTCTGCATCTTCTAACAAACATACCAGCATCTTGGTTTATTTGAGGAAACAATCAGTCATGTTTAAAGTTTCAAGTCATCACCTGTTTAGAGTCTGGAAGTGAATGTAGGATGTTTTCAGAACTGACCCAGAGTAGAACTGCCGCCCTGCTGGAGTAGAAAGATACTCTAACCGAATCCCAACCTGTGTACTTGTGTTCTCGCGTCCTCATGAAACCTCATCAGTCCTAACATTGTTCCAATTCACAAGAACAGCAGACCGAGAACGGACAAAGTCCCTGGATGTTGTTCTGGCCTCTCCCTCTTTACCCAGCATGCATCAGAGCAGACTTGTCTGTTCTCCAGACTGACAGCTGTCCCAGCATGCACTGCGGCAGCAGCAGCTTCCCGGTTAGCGCTCACAGAGCTCAGAGTATTAAGTTGAAAGTTCTCTTTTCTGTTGCTGTTGTTCAATAAAAGAACGGTTTAAGATCATTTGAGGTTAGAACATTATACTTTAAGCATTACTATTGGCCCATTTATTGATTTTATGCGTAATTTAAAAATGTTCCGAAGTTGAGAGGATGGTGGCAACCAGTGGAGCTCCGAGGGCAACGGCAGCCAGGGCTAACGTCAGCCGTCTGCAGTGGCCATATTTGTGATGACCTGGTTTCTGGGTATAAATCAGCCTTAACACAACCAGCTCAGGTGGGGCTGAGACCTTGAAACTCAAAAAGGTTTTCAAGATTGAAGATGAGGAGGTGAACACGTCAACCGAGTCCTGGTTTATCCCACACCACATGGTGACGCACAACGGGAAATATAGAATGTGTGTTTAACTGCGCCTACACATACAGAGGCCAAAACCTAAATGGATTACTGCTACCTGGTCCAACCCTTACCTCCACCCTTCTTGGTGTCCTGCTAAGATTCCGGGAACATGCCATCACCCTCAGCAGTGACATCAATGGCATGTTCCACCAAGGGCGGTTGTTACCAGAGGACAGACCTTTGCTGCGCTTCTTGTGGAGGGATCTGAAAAGAGAAGTACCAGCATACATCTATAAATGGCAAGTCCTCCCCTTTGGGACCACATGCAGTGCCTGCTGTGCAATGTATGCACTGTATTCCGTAAAAGTTCAAAAAATATCCACTGGACTTGGTTTCCAAGATTTGAAGACGTTTCGCCACCTCTCCAGGAAGCTTTCTCAATTCAAATGTATTTGACATTTGAATTGAGAAAGCTTCCTGGAGAGGTGGCGAAACGTCTTCAAATCTTGGAAAGCAAGTCCAGTGGATATTTTTTGAACTTTTACGGAATGACTATGACCTGGATGACTGAGAATCTTCATCAGCCTATGCACTGTAGAAGAATGCGGCAGACAACTGTCAACCAGGAAGTGAAGTTTGTGTTACCATTGAGTGGTGCTTCTATGTAGATAGTCACTTGCAAAGCCTCCCCTCCACTGAAGAAGCCCGTCAGCTGGTTGACAAACTCAAGGCTCAGCTTGCCACAGGTGGCTTTGATCTGTGCCAATGGGAAAGCAATGCCCCGGAAGTCATCAGCCACCTGCCGAAGGATCTGAGAGCAGTGAGCTATGGCTCACAGAATCCCATGAAGATCCTCAAGAGCTCACCCTTGGACTCGTTGGCTTTGTGTGTCAGACACTCTAGGCTACAAGTATTGCCTTGCAGAAAACCCTATGCCTACCATGAGGAACATCTACAGCACCCTTGCAAGGCTTTATGATCCACTAGGTTTTCTCATACCCTTTACCACGTGAGCCAAGATCATCGTGCAGTACCTATGGAAGAAGGTAAGAGAATGGGATGATCCCTCCTTGCCAGAGGATGCTCCCAAGGCTTGGTGAAGTTGTGAAGTCCAGCTGAAACACCTTCCAGAGATTGTCCTGCCTCGTTGCTATGCAAGCCCCCCTCTGGACAACCCTGCTTTTTTGCGAATCCTGCAAGTTTTCTGTGACACATCTGAGAAAGCCTATGGTTCAGTAACGTACTTGCGTACAGAGATACCAGGCAAGAAGGTGGAAGTAGCTTTCCTGACAGCGTAGCCCCCAAGCGCCAGCAGACAATGCCCAGGCTGGAACTGTACGCAGCCTTGACAGGTGCCCAGCTGATTAAGCTCTTACAGCATGAGCTAACCCTGAGTCTTGATGAGGTGACGCTCTGGATCGAGTCAGACTCCTGCAGATTCAAGGTGTTCATGGGTTCCAGAGTCACTGAAATCCAGGAGATAACCGAGGCCCAGTCCTGGAGGTACATGGGCTCTGCAAACAATTCTGCAGACGACATAACCATGGGAAGAGCCTAAGAGACCTTGCAGGGAAAAGCAGCCATTAGTAGCCATTGGAGCCACGGCCCAGCATTCCTGCACCAGTCACCTGAGCACTGCCCAACCAAACCCACAGCGGAGTCCCTGGAGGGTGAAGAGTTGTGCAAGACTGCATTCTGTGGTTCCACAGCCACTGCCCCCACTCTCCTGTTTACCTGAAATGGGTCAGTTCAACAGTTTTAAAGAGTTAGAGGAAGCAGTGGTCCAGGAGCGTCACGGGGCGGCAAGCAACCAGTCTACTCTAACAGCCGAGGACTATTGGAATGCTGAGAGTAACCTGCTGAGACAAGTGCAGGTGGAATGCTTCCCAAAGGACCTCAAGCACCTGTTAGAAAGCAAACCAGTCCCCTCCACCAGCCGTCTGATCGCCCTTGCTCGTGAGTATGACAAACAGCTCAAGTTGATTCGGGTTGGAGGCAGACTGTGGTGCAGCAAACTGCTTTGAGGCTAAGAGCATTCACCTTATCGTCATGGATCCAGCCCACCCAGTCACCAGGCTCATATTCCACAGTGTCGACTGTGATCTTCACCATCCAGGATCTGAGGCGTTGAAGCGGCATCAACATTCATGTACCAGAGAGTGCCAGAGATGGATGGCAAAACAAGCTATATCACAGATGGCAGACTTACAGTGGGGGAAATAAGTATTTGACCCCTTGCTGATTTTGCAGGTTTGCCCACTTACAAAGAATGCAACGATCTATAATTTTAATCACATGTACATTCTAACAGTAAGAGAGAGAATCCAAAAAAATCCAGAAAATCACATCATATGATTTTATTAAAATTGATAACCATCTAATGAGGAAAAACAAGTATTTGAACCCCTGGACAAACAGCATGTTAATATTTTGTAGAAAAGCCATTATTTTTTACCGTTAATCAGTTTTTATAGCTGGTGACAAGGTTTGTGCACATTTCAGCAGGGATATTGGCCCACTCCTCCCTGCAGACAGCCTCCAAATAATTCAAGTTCTGAGGTTGTCGCCTGGCAACTCGAATTTTAAGCTCCCTCCAAAGATTTTCAATTGGATAGGTCTGGAGACTGGCTAGGCCACTCCAGAATCTTGATGTGCTTCTTCTGCAGCCACTCTTTTGTTGCTTTGGCGGTATGCTTAGGGTCGTTGTCGTGCTAAAACACCCATCCTCGACCCATCTTCAGCTCTCTCACTGAGAGAAGGAGATGTTGGTCCAGAATTCCATGATACATGGCCCCGTCCATCCTCCGCTCAATACAATGGAGTTGTCCCGTCCCCTTGGCTGAAAAGCACCCCCAAAGCATGATGTTGCCACCACCATGCTTGATGGTGGGGATGGTGTTCTTTGGGTTGTACTCGGTGTTCTTTGCCCTCCAAACACGACGAGTTGAGTTGAGGCCAAAAAGTTCTATTTTGGTCCCATCTGACCACATCATCTTCTTCCAGGCGTCTTCTGAGTCATCCAGGTGGTGAATGGCGAACTTCATGCGGGCCTGTACATGTTTCTTCTTGAGCAGGGGGACCTTGCGTGCGCTGCAGGATTTCAATCCATGAGGGCATAGTGTGTTACCAACCGTTTCTTTTGTAACTGTGGTCCCAGCTGCCTTCAATTGATTCATCAGTTTCCCCCTTGTGGTTTTGGGATGATTCCTCACCGTTGGCATGATCAGGGACACCCCACGAGGCGAGATCTTGTGTGGAGGCCCAGACTGAGGGAGGTTGGTGGCGGTGTGGTGCTTCTTCCATTTCCTGATAACTGCACCAACAGTTGATCTTTTCTCTCCAAGTTGCTTTCCGATTCGCTTGTAGCCTATCCCAGCCTTGTGCAGATCAATAATCTTGTCCCTGATGTCTGTAGAAAGCTCTTTGGTCTTGCCCATGGTGGTGATATTGGATGCTGGTTGTTTGGGTGTTGACAGGTGTCTTTTATACAGGTAACGAGGTGAGGCAGGTGTATTTGATGTAGATAATTGGTTGGGATTGGAGCTGTGTCTTAAAGAAAGACTAACTGGCTTGTAGGAGTCAGAATACTTGCTGTTTGGTAGGGGGTCAAATACTTGTTTTTCCTGATCAGATGGTTATCAATTTTTATAAATTCCTATGATGTGAATTTTTGGAATTTTCTTTGGGATTCTTTCTCTCACTGTTAGAATGTACATATGATTAAAATTGTAGATTGTTGCATTCTTTGTAAGTGGGCAAACCTGCAAAATCAGCAAGGGGTCAAATACTTATTTCCCCCACTGGACCACCAGCACGTCTGCGGTTGCTGAAGCCACCGTTCTTCTCCACCGGTATGGATTGCTTCAGTCCTCTTACTGTCAAAGTAGGACGACAGGAGAAGCGCTGGGTTATACTATTCAAGTGTTTTACTACCAGCTACAGTGTTCACAGCAGAGTGGATCGTAATGTTTGGATAGTTACAAATATGTTGTCAGCTCATTGGTCACAACGCAGGACAGGGCCCAGGAAACTTAAGTTTTGTATCTAACGTTCCCTTGTTCTTCATTTTCCATTAGCTTTTTAGAGACTATTTTTTTTACTCTCACAGTAATACAGGACAAAGTGTGTTCCTTTTCCACTAAATACGGACGGTTGGCAACCTTAGCTACGACTGGTGTCATCAACTTAT